CTCGATCAAAATCAACAACCAATGATGTGCCCTGCTGTCCAAAACATGGGTCCAAAACAAAAATCACGGGAATAAGCCAATTCTCAAAGACAAAATCATGCTAAAATCATGCACATCAAAGTTCAGCTCTAGTAGGACATACCTGCTTTCACTATCGAACGATCTACCCCAGCCTTCCTGAGTCAGGCCGGTTTTCAACTGACTTTTTTCAAAAATCAGGCTGGTTTTTACTGTCTTTTTTCTAGGAGGGCAGATTTGGCTGAAAATTCGCTTACAGGGGTAGTTCTCCTCCTAAACACGAATATCGCATTCGCTTAGCTCGAAACTGCCTAGCGCCCGCTCCACAGGAGACGGCGCCTAAATGCCCTGAATCACCAATACCTGAAAACTTGTCGCTCAGGGTATTTGACCCTCCAGAACACGAACACCACATTCGCTTGGCGCCCGCGCCACAGGCACCGCAGCCAAGACACCCTGTCCCAGCAAAACCGCTGAAAAGTTGTACGGGGTGAGGGGAACTCGACACCCTGACTGCGTATATGATATTCATTCGTGACGCTGGCGCATTCTTGGCGATGGAGCTTACTACGATCACCTGCGCTCTGCTAAGTCTGAGCCTGTCCTCAATGAAATCTCCCTTCTGCCGAGCTCAGCATTAGCAAGGCGCTAAATGGCGCTGTTGTCGAAAATGAATGGCATATTCGTGATTACGGCATCAAACGACCCTACTGTACACTTTTTATAGCACATGTTAACTGGGAAAAAAACTTGAGAAAAATACGACCCTCCCTCTTCATCCCATCTCCTCATCCCACCTAACCACTTTCATAGATTTCCCCAACTTCCCACCCAGTTTTTCTGGAGTTTCCCGAAAATTCACCTACTCTTCCCCAAGAATTCCGCTTCCGAGGACGGTTTGTGGGGGGGGGGGAGGTACTTCAGTTCAGTTCATAGTCGAAGCTAACGAGATTCTTTAAATGGGTAGCAGAAGTGCGGAATCGAACGATGATTCAAAGCACGTCATACGAACGTGGCTTTGGAGCTTTTGCTGAGGAGGTGGATTAGTTTTGATGAATTACTACCGCTCTCTGCTTCTTTCACGGCAGGGTTAAGAGCTTTCTTGGAGAAACTGGTTCATTTAACAAAGACCATGACAAACAACAACGATGCTTTGGAAATATTTTTTTTGTGTAACAGAATAATCTGGCACAGTTCGGCGGAGGGGGGGGGCATTTTGTAGTTCGCTACTAATCAGAGAGAACTCTCAGGGGTTGACACGTTTAATGATGGTAGCTCGACGAGCCTACTCTAGCATTGATAGGAGTTCACAGGCTTTACCAGAATGCAAAAACCCTAACTAGTCCGCCAGTGAAAGGGCAAAATGTTCCCCCCCCCCTCCTTTCGTCGAACAGCGCCGAATGGTCCAATTGTTTCTGTGAAAGGCAAGTGGTAGGACAATCGGTGGGCGTACGGGGTTCATACGCCTAGCAGGGAAGAATACTGCGCCTCCAAGAGCTACATGGCGCTTTCTACGAGCAAGGGCAACATTAAAGCACCCAACCAAGGTGCAACTTGCCGAACCACATGCCCATTGCAACCGCCCGCCCACAAATGGCCGGACAGTCACATCGACGCTGGTACTCTTATCGTTCTCATTTATGAAGTACAATTGATATGAAGCATTGCCACATGAATATATAAATAGATACTTGCAGCCACATCTGTCAAAGGGACGTAGGTACAATGCCAAAGGGAAACTCGTCCAAAAATGCTGGTCCACTGCCGTGCAGAACGAAGGCTGGCACTTTCAACTTTATTTTCCGAGAATAGGCCAGTTTTGATCGGACTTTTTCTGAGAAGGCAGATTTGGCTTAAACCTTGGCTCTGGAGGTAGTGACCTCCTGAACACGATTATCACACTCGACCTGAAATTGCCTGGCGCTCGCGCCACAGACGCCGGCGCCAAGATACCCTAGGTTACCAAATCTGCTGAAAACTTGTCCCCAAGGGTAGTTTGACCACGAATATCACCTTACGCTCAGCCCGAAAGTGCCTGGCAGGCAAAGGCGCCATGAAACCCGAATCCCTGAAAACTTGTATATTACTTGTACTGTACTTGCTAAACTTGTGTATTTGTATATTGTAGTGGTTATTTGACACCCCGATTACGAATATGACATTCATTCTTGGCACTGGTGCTAATGGGGGACACCTGCTAAGACTGAGCCTTGCCTTAAGGGACTTCACCTTCTCCCAAGCTCAGCCTTATCAAAGCGCTACTCAGCCTTTATTCAGAGCGCTAAATGGCGCTGTTGTCGAAAAAGAATGGCATATTCTTGATTAGGGCATCAAACGACCTCATTGGGTTGTAGGCTGGCGCAAATGGCACTAGGGGCCGCCTCCATCACGCAATGTTATTGCTCTGTGAACAGGACATCGAATTACTGGTTGGCTGGTGAATTTTAAAAAAAAATTTTCGGTTTGTGGGTAGTACGGTTGAATACTGCCTAGGTTTCTTCGTTGAATTTTTTGGGGTTGTATTCGCATTTTCCCAGTGAATATTCCTTGCCCATTTGCCGAGGCAGCAACGTTATCGTGTTCTATGCTTTTAATCATCAAATGTGCGAGCGTAGAGTAATTTGAAAAAGTATTTTCAAGTAAATGCCATACACAGCTCTCCAGAAACGTCGGCATTGTGTTCCCTTAAAGACAGCCCCCGCGATCAAAGTGGCTCGTGGTCGCCTTTGCTGTGCAAGTAGTCTAGCCTCCAAGCTAGAAGACTGTTCACCTTTCGCGACTCTATTGTGAGCGTGGAGGCTGCTATAGCCGCTCAAAGTGCTAGTTCTAACTCCTCCTCAGTCGGACCGCCTTTACTTGCTAGATGTTCTCCGACGGGAGGCCACTCACTTGTTCTTAGTTGGGGCGGCGGGCATTGCTAATGCCCCTGGATAATTCTGCTCTCCTTCATTACAGTTTACTCATTGGAGGTATATACATTCAATTCAACCCATTTCGCGAGGTGAAACGCGTAAAAAACACGAGTGACGCAATTTTCGTGATGCAAAACCACGACGCACAAAAGGTGCGCTACCGTAATCACAAATTCAGACACCGTGTTGATAAAATTCCTTTTTCCTTCCCAGAGTTTTTCTTCTGCGTTTCTTTTTGTATTCTTTTTTTGCACTGGATTGATATCACACTACTGCCGCAGATTGTTGAATAGGGCAAGATTTGTGAGCTAGGGGCTGCACAGAGACCGCAGGGAGGTGTAACTGTGAGGGAGCGATTTTGTTTATGTTGTTCTGGAGAACGCTTCTTGCCTGTTTTCTTCTTTGGGAGATTACTTATCAGCTGCTGTTTCATAATTGGAAAGCAGCTATCCATGAGACTTTTATCGCGGGAGCTGTCTTTAAGGTGCTATCTCCTGCCCCAGGAGCCAACAGGGGTCGAACTCGTGGTGGGAACGATTTTGGAGGCCACTGTCTTGGCGCAATAACCGCGAACTTCCTCACGGGGAACCCTCGAGGTGTTTTGGATTTAGGTCAGCCATCTAGAGATGAAGCGTCACAATGACGCTGGAGCTGAAACCTGATACAGGGGTGAAATCCCAATAGTGACCCTGTGAAGAACACCCGAAGCGGTCCTACTGCTGACTTGGTCTCGAAGATCGGACTGTGTAACGGTAAGTGGCAATTTTTATGACTGTGTGGTGGTCTAAATGGATCGAGGACTCCGGCAGAGAGTTAGGACGAGCAGCAATAAATGGTCAGGCTTAGAGAACGCGATCCCGCCAAAATGCGAGCCGATAAGACTGATTTAGCCTCACGTGGAGTTCAAGCGACGGACGCACCTCACCATCAATAGTCTCAAATTATTCAACTCTCTTACTGTTGCGCGCTACTGACCATTCACCACCCTATCCTTCTCGTCTCTTTCTCCATACCCAGTTATTCACTATCGCTTCATTTGCCTTCGTAGCGGCGTTTTGATATTTCCTCGTGCTACGCGTTATCGTTGCTGCTGATCGGGTGCAATTGCGTGCACAATGCGTGAGTTGTTAGTACCCTCGATGAGCGTTGAGGTCCACGGTTTCCTTCATAACTCAGATGTGTGATTGTGGAGTATTCCACTCTGAATCAGCTCTACTATGATAAAGCAGAAATTAATATTAAAACAAAAAACAAGAAATCAACCGAAGTTACCGAATGATGTAATAATAAAAAAAAACAAATAAAAAAAAATGTAGGAATAGTTGGATCAGAAGGGTATGAGGCGAACACGCCCTTCATGCTTTTGCAGTAATAGCATCTGATGTCCGATGTGATTAGGCATGAGAAGATGTATTATCACCTTTGGGGGAAAATGAATGAATTTGATAGAGGGTAATTTGATAACGAACCATATAAAAAAGCTAAGCCGGGTTATGCATCACTGGTGCATCTTCGGAATGCATATCACTTGTGTGCTCCTCTTAGCCCTCATCGTGGGCGCCACATCGGATGCCAAAGCATACTTCAGATGGAAACGAGCGGCTGCCATGAAGACTGCAGCACCTGCACCGAAAGCACCGAATCCCAAGAAAGAAGTCGCTACAGCACCTAAGCATGTGAAAGCAGCGGCACCAAAGCCATCACCGAAGCCCACGAAAGGGCGCTGTACACATTAACCTTCAGCCAATGAAATACTACCATGAGGTACCGAAAGACCTAGCTAGTTTAAGGTTCGTTTCACGGTTGCAATTCACTACGATTAGCAGCCTGCCTAACTTTCAGCAGACGCCGCACCGTCACCGAAGCCCACGAAAGGAGCCACTGCTACACATAAACCTCAGCAAGAAATACTACCATTGAAGCGAACCGCGAAGGCCAATTCGCTAAGCGATTCGTTTTCAGCGTTGTCAATTCACTAAAATGGCAGAGGTGCCCATCTTCTTGTAGACGCCGCGCCTGTCACCGAAGGGAAGCCGCTGGGCACCAGAAACCTCATAATAAAAAACAACCATTGGGCGGTTTGTTTTCACGGTGCCAGTTCATTAAAATCGGTTAGAGGTGCTCTGTATTCAGTAAAGCCCATATAGTACACCAAGACCACGAAAGGAGCGTGCAGCAGGGAGCCCAGAAACCTCAGGGTGGAAATACTACCATTAGGACGGTTTGTTTTCAGGTTGCCAGTTCTTCACTAAAATGGTAGAGGTGTCTGTATTTCAGAAAGCGCGCTAGCACCGGAGCCCACGAAAGGAGCCGCTGCAGTACCGAATCCTCAGGGGGAAGACCTGCCATTGGTGCATCCGTGGGATTCTTCTGAACTAGTCTCTTCAGGTTCGTTTTCCGCTTACCAATTCACTAAAGTGGTAGAGGTGTTTATATTTCAGCAGACGTGCCAGCACCAAAGCCCAGAAAAGGAACCGATGCAGTACCGAAACCTCTGGAAGCAGACGAATCGAAGGAAGTGCCTCCCGCAACGATCGAGGCACCGGAGTCTGAGGAAGAAATTGTATTACCAATGGTAGAGGAAGAATCATCTGTCCTCCCAGGTCCGTTCCATTTTCAGATTGCCAATTTACAAAAATGCTAGAAGTGTCTATATTTCAGATGACTTCCTGGACACGTTCGCTTATCTGCTTATCAGGAAAACTGCGAATCAGATTAGGGGTGACTCTCAACTCTACAGGGTAAGATGCAATCCGACAAGTGCTGCAACCCTGAAATGCATGTTGCTCTGTTTCTCGGGATGGATGAATCTACACTGCTAGAAAGGCCAAAACTTTCGAAAAGGGAGATAAGCTCCCTGATGGGTGAACCAATCGGAAAAAACTGGGATATTTCGAGTGATTCTCATACTCCGGGGCTCACTATCCCTCCAAAATGATATGTTACTACATAGGTCTTGGGGCGATGCAAGTGGCGTGCCCCTTCACGAGACAAATAGTGCCGAGTGTATTAGGCTGCGTTCATAGTTTGCGGCAGCGTCCACTTGCGTCCATCAGCAAACCCTAGCGTTCCGAGCGTCCGGCAACGACCAAGCAACTAGAAAAGTATAGATATTGATCTAGCGAACCGCAGCGACTAACAGCGTCTACGAGCGACCAGTAGCGTCTCGAGGACCTGGGAAGTATAGGTATCGATCAAATGTCTGCCAGCGTTTGCCAGCCAGGTCACGCCATCGTTGTGAAGATCACAACGGGGGGTCGTATTTGACCGCGAGTGAGGGGAGGGGGTCGTATTCGGTCGTCGTCGGAGGGACAGCCAAAGATCTGTACAACTACTATTTCCGACGGTTGAAATTAACCCTGACCACCTTCCCCCATTCGACGGAAAATTCTTGGCTGAAAAACTCGAAATCTAGGAAGTTAGGAAAATCTAGGAAAGTGATAGGTAACACGGGGAGGGGAGTCGTATTTAGGGATGGAACTAGGGGGTCGTATTTTTCAGGAAGGTATCTCTACCAGCAATCTGCTACCCTCCTATTTCCCCATACTCTACCAGCTGTCTGGTACCGTCGCTCGACTGTCCGCGACTCATTCTCCAAGGCATGCTGTTACAATCGCCTCCTCCAAAGGCAGTCTTGGCCAAAAGCTTGCATCAGAAGAACTTCGACATCTTGATCACGAGTGTGACGTCCGCTGATCTGAAACCGCCTACTGCCCGCTTTGTAGGGGACGGCAAGACAGGCCTATTTTGAAAGTGAACCGTGTAGCGCGGTCTCCAGACCGTTCCGGGCCAAGCAGTCTAGTGGGGCAGTTACAGAAACGTGGTGGAACTGGGTAGCACAACTTTCTAACAACATGCAATAGTGATCATCTCTCTGAAATGCTCAGCCTTAGCAGGGATAGGGATTACTATCTCGAAGGGAGAGGTCAGGCAGTGGAAACACGTCGCGCTGTCACGTGTACCGCTTTCTGCCATCCACGAGTGCTTGGCAACCATGTACGTGAGGATCTCGTGTTTAGTGCACTCCCTAAAACCTCACCTGTACCACCGCTAAATGAATTTTGGTAAAGAAAAAATGATCTGGGAGGAAATAAGCTACGAGGCTCATTCGTAGAGTTCAGGTCATCGTGTGACCCCCTCCTTATTATCAAACCTTATATCCGACAATGCCAACATCCTCTGACTCTGCTTTTTTGTTTACACTGAAGGGTTACCGCAGAGGCAAACGACCTCGGCCAAAGAAGCTAGCTCGAACTGGAACTTTAAATGTGGGTTCGCTTACCGGGCAGTCTAGAGCGGTTGCCACCTTATGGGGACGCAGGAATATTGCAAGCACCTTTGCCTTAGGAAAAACGCGCTGCGAAGAGGCCGAAGGCTTGGATGTCGGGGGAGAGCTCAAATCTTCTTCATGGGAGGAGAAACCAACTGGGACCATGTGACCCATAGCAGCAGAACCCCCTCAATGACTGCGTCTCCCTGCAGACAGTCTTCAGCGATCGGAATTCATGAAGTGTGAGAACAGGCAAAGGAATAGGGGTTACGGGCGTTCCGACCGTGTAAGCACCACAATCGATTGCCCATGATCCACGCGACCTAGCCACAGCCCACGACTCAGCAATCTGGTCTAGCACGTTCTTTGCGAAAAGATTTCAACCTAAGGATGACCTACAACAGTGGGGGAACAAATGAAAATCGACCACAGCTGGTGAGAAGATCGTCTCTCAAAACCGTTGAGGATATCAGGTAGTGTCTGGGGAAGAGCTGGGCCCTCAGCTTCAGGTCCTCATCCGCCTGGACTTTCCCAAGAAAGCGACTGTAAGAACAGAGCGGAGAATTCGGTGGTAGAAAATGCCCAAGGTGGTAAAGGATAGCTGCGGCCTGACAACCATGGAGGCTGGGCCTCCAGTGTGCGATTATTGAGGATCGTGAAGCAGAAGAAGGAAGAGCTGGCAAAAAACAAGGAGTCCAAAAAACTTCCCCTATAAGAGCTGCAAAGCGACTCGCTAAGGTAGCCCTCGTCGAAGATAAGAAAACGGAAATGGACGCCTTGTACGAGAAGCTGGTGAGCCTAGAGGAAGACAAGTTCGTCTTCCTCCTGGCTAAAGCCTCAAGACAACAACGAAGTCAGGGAGAGAATCTTCCCGCAATAACTGTCTCAAATATAGAGGTGATGGCAGGTGCCATCACTCCCTGGACGGAGGATGATGTCCGTCGAGAGTTGGGCAGAATTAAGGTTGCGAAAGCAGTGCGATGGAGTACCGATAGAGGCATGGAAGGGTTCTTTGGAGAGCGTGGGGTAAGATAGCTCACCCACTTCATGAACCACGTGATGACCGAAGGAAGAATGATGGATGCGTGGAGGAGCAGCACAATCGTCCCCATCTTCAAACAGGAGAGGCCCGACACGGAGTGCCCTTAAAGACACATGGTATGATCACACATAGTTTGGGTGTGCGTGACTGTCAGCCCCCCCCCCCCCCCCCCCCCCAGCTGTCGAAGCGTAGCGGTTTCCCGTCCTAACATGCGCAGGAATGGAGATACAGGACCGTGAACACGCTAATTCCTCCATGCTCCGCCCAATGCCTTTTGCGGCGCAGACTCCCGTTTATGCTAACAGCCGTCCGCGCGGCGCGTGTCGCGCGCAGCGCTCTTGACACCTATACCAAGTCATGTATTGCCGCTTCGGGTACAATGTGAAAGCAATTTCCTGATGCGGATAACATTTGAGGTGTTGCTCATGCTGCAAAGTCCGAATAGAAGGTGATGAAGATGACAAAGGCTAGAAATGAAGAACAACGAATGTAGAATGTAAAAAAAATGGAAAAATCAAGCAAATGCAAATTGATCAAAATCGCGTGTAAACTTCTGCAGTTCGGCGCGATTCCGGCTAAAATGCCATTGAAATACTTTAAACTGACGAGTGGGACCGCTTAGGCCGCTTTTTATTCCATGTTTTTATGAATGCGCGGCCTCGAGGAATGTTGGCAAAAGCCAGCACAGTTGCCTCATGTCATCATCTACGGTTCTTATTTTGCAGCACTCAACTGTTATCCGCATCAGAAAATTGCGTATTGCACTTGTGGGACGTTCAAAGACGCAATTACAGGAATTTCGCAAAGCGCCAACGGAGCGCCTGTGCGCGACAAACGCGACCGCGCGGACGGCTGTTAGCATAAGCGGAAGTCAGCGCTAGTAAAAAGCATTCGCAGAGCATGGAGGAGGGAACGAGCGTGTGTTCCACGGTCCTCTATCTCCATTCCTGTGCATGTTAGGACGGGGAAACCGCTACATTTCGACAGCTGAGGGACGCCGCAGCATCAAGTTGGCTCCCTATACCATTAAGCTGTACGAGCGGTCTGCGTAGACACAAAGCTGGCGCGGGAACTTGCCCCCACTTCGCAGGAGCAGTCCGGCTTCATGCGCAAAAGGTCCACCACTGATGCCACTTCATCGCTAGACAGGTGATGGGGAAGTACTGGGAGAAGCGGCAGCCCTGCTACCTAGCCTTCCCGGACTCGGGGAAATCACCTGCCCTCAAGGCCTGCACTCCGGACGAGCGTTCAAGAACCTAACACGTTCTGGAATACTACGATCAATCCACAGTAAAGGATATGTACGATGGGTCTTAACCTAAGGGCAGCCTCTACGGTCCCTTGCTGCTTAATAGCAGGAAACACCACGTCACGGGCCACACCAAAGACAGCCCTCAGCCCGTTTCTTTTCCAACTGACTGTGGATGTCATGGCAAAAGGTCTCGCTAAGGAGGCCTTCTGAAAACCATCCTCTACGCTGACGACATCGCCCTGATAGCGGACAGCAAGGAAGAACTCCAGGACAGGTGCAGCGGTGGCAGGATGTGCTTGCTGGAAGACTTTGGACTGAACGAAAAGAAAGACGAAATTCCTGAGACGCTCACGACAGAGTGGAGTGCAACCCATCGTAGACCGCCATGGCGAGAGCATCGAAAGGCGTCGAGGAC